GATTGGGCACATATAAAAAAATACGTGTCTCTTAGCTCTTAGATGTGTTTAATAACATATTTCAAGGAGAATCAAATCAATTCCGGACAGTTGTGACAAGTCCCTTGTCATAATTAGGTAGAGGGAATGGTTCGACAGTCAGGGCGCTTATTTAGGAAGAAAAAGAGACCAACAAATAATTAATAGCAATTGAATAACAATTATCGAATAACAATTTTATTCGCGTTTATTTCCGATACAGTCTTGAGGCGAGTTCGCAACACAAATTCTATCTTTTCAATCACGCGGCTGACCCGAAGTGCGAAGTATACAAAGATGATCGGCAGTATGAAGAAATTCCTGGCAACGATATTCGATATACAATCCGGCACCGATTTCCTCACCCGAAATTCGCTATAACGAGCTCTCGAATGGCCGCCTTCAGCGGGATTGGCGATATAAAATACTAAACACGCAAGCAATTATATGTAGCGTAAATAAAGCGGCGTAGTAAGCGCATGGCAATCCTCATCCCGAGCAATAGCACGCGCAATCGCAAATACACGGCAATTCAAGTTTGTGATCGGAAGCAAGATAATGCGGCAAGACAAAGAGAGCAAATAATCATAATATTAAAAGAGCAGAATATTCTGATAATATGATAAAACTAAACAACCTTACAGGCGAGATTACAGAATGAGCAGTCATCAATAATCTCTTAACCGCGGTGAAGCATCGCTTCGCGGCATAGCAATTTAGCGCTCGCGAAAGCGACAAGAAAAGATGCAACGAATAATATTAGAAACGGCAAAAGGACTTTAACAAAGGTGACTTATCGTGGCCGCTGGAGGGCGAGATGCTGTTCGGACTTCCTTCCGAGACGGGTAATCGCCACATGTACGAGGTACCGTCGCAGGTACCGGCATTTGTTTCGTCGCACTCTAATTCTCACTCACATAATTCGCGATACCGGCATTCTCGCAACGCTTGCACTCATCCGCCGCTCACAATACGACGAAGGTAACGGCTTTACAAGACAAATGTACTAGGCTCACTAACGACGCAGACAGCTTTTTCGTGGCAGATTGATGATCCTTGGATTCACGTCCTCTTTCACTAAGCACACCATGAGAAGTAATTATCCGCGCCTTCACGGATACACGCAGGCGATCGCCTCCCTTCTCTCGCGATTTGGATCGTTTTGTTATTGACCGAAAATCGGCTAATCGCGCGGCTCTAATCGGCTGTGCCACGTGAAGATTCTTGCGAGAAACTTAAATGCGGTGGCAGATGCGGCAACGTGCCCCGGCTTCTCTACAAAACACTATAATAAATT